ACTTAAAACATGAGTATTGTATTCTTTGATTTACTCTTGTTTTTGTAGTCCAGTTCTTCGTGTTGGCCTTGGAATGGGTCAGTAGTGTATATAGGAATATGTTAAGTAGAACCACTTTGAGTATCAGTGCTCATATTTGTGGGCTGAATCTGAGGAAACCTGTCTGAGTAGATGAATCAAGTTGTCTAGCCCTGCACTAGACTGATGCTCTTAACTTCCCTGCTTAGCTCAATTGAACTCTTTGAAGCACTGATCTATGAACAGAGATTCAAATCAATAGTACTGATCGCCATTCCTTAAAAGCAACTGGAAGTCCTAGCACAGCCTTTCTAAATCAGCTTCTTTGAGGGATCCTGTTGGATGCTTCCGTATAGCCATCTGAGATTTTAATCCTTTTTTTTTTTTTGATACTGATGATTGAATCCAGAGGTACTTTACTATTGAGCAACATCTCAGGCCTTTTTAAAATTTGAGACAGGGTCTTGCTAAATTGTTGAGACTGGCCTTGAACTTGTGATCCTCCTGTCTCAGCCTTTCAAGTAACTGGAATATAGGTGTGTGCTACTGTGTATGGCACTATTTTTTAATTCTTAAGGAATTATATAGTAGATTGTGCATTTGAAAAACAACTTACATGCTCATAAAGGAAATACTAGAAGGATATTGTCCAGTCACCCACTCGATGCAGGAAGATTTTTCTTATTTAACTAACAACTTCCTGTAGACGATTTCTGTTTACAGAGAGCTCTCAGATCAGGTTATCCTCTTTTGTGAAAAATGTATTTCATTTTCCTGAAGGCCTTCCTTGTAGCCTTGATGGACTGCCTTGCCAGCGGCCCATGTCAGTGTTTTCTTGTGGCATTGGTAGGTGCTGCCATCACTGGGTTTCTCTGCTTGGGTAACCGTGTCTGTTTCCCTGCAGCACAGCAATGGCCAAAGATGAGCGGGTGAACTTGCTGTCCTTCACTGGAAGTACTCAGGTGGGAAAACAGGTGGCGCTTATGGTACAGGAGAGGTTTGGTAAGTGTTGATTTCTGATGAGAATTTTAATTCTCTGAGAAGTATGGATGTGGAATAT